AGGGGAAAAAAAAAAAAAAAAAAAAAAAAAGCACTCCTACTCACCTCGGGGATAAGCTCAAATGTAGCGTCGAAGCTCTCGACAGCTCGAATTCCCATGCACACTACCAACGACGTCCGCCTGCGCGGATTAGACGGAGAAGCGCGCCGCCTATGGCGATCCAGCACATCGAAACCGGCGCACCTGTGGCGTCCTAGGCTGGTTTCGAGCCCGCGCACCGCGGCGCGGGCCGTGGTCGAGGAGGCGAAGCGCGGTGCAGGCGCGCAGGAGCAGCCGCACTCGTTCCCTCCTCTCGCCTGTCGCACGTCTCGCGCAGCTTCGCCCGAGCGACGTCCGCCCCCGACCATCGACGTCGAGCAGACGACCGCCACGGACGACGGTTCGAGCCCACTGGCGGCCATGGCGGAGGAAGCCACGTGTCCGCCTGCGGTCACAGCAGCAGCGCCGCAGACGTGGCGGCCGCTGCCGGTGCAGGACGGCCGCCACGTGGCAACCTGGGAGGACACGGCCATCGCTCGCACTGCTGCCGACATCGCTCTATCTGGTGGCCCCCTACCAGCTGTCTCAACCTCCAGCCGCTACCGTAGATCGACTGCACGGACGAACTCAAACGTGCCCCGGCCGCTAGATCTGTGTTTGGTGTGAGGGGGAGAGAGGAGAGAAGGGACAGATCTCCAGCTTACTGATAACGACCCCGGTTTTATGAGTTGTTTCTTAAACCGATACCAGGCCCCCTGAAGCAGGCAACAGAGAGAAATCGCCACCCCAGTCCGGACCTGCGTGCACCCGGCCTCAATCTCGTCCAGAACAGAAACAAGCAAGTTATCAATTAATAGGTAAAAGAGACCGGCTTCTTTTCTTCTTCTTTTTCTATTTGTTATTTTCCCTTTTCCTTTAATTGCTGAAATACCCCTAAAAGCTTGGATATTTCGTCAGATTCCCCTAAAACACAGGGGTAGCTGAAATGGCCCAGACTTCTGCAACTGGCCCCCGTCCTGTTCATTGGCAGGCTCACCATTTGCCATCTGCAGGGTCCAACGGCCGGAAACACCGGGGCATATAGACAAGTTGTCCAGGGCCCGGTAGGGGTATATGTAAGGGATGACAGGTCCAATTGTCAAGTGGGGTATTTCAGAAAGTTCTGTTACTCTCAGAGGGGCATGTCGCCATACCTATGCCTGTTATTGGTATTTGACGACATACCCGAACTTTCAGGGGCATTTCAACAATTTTTCCGTTGTTGCAATAGATCCCAGATAGGAGTCTGCAATGAGATGGCTCCAATCTATTCATGGGGAGCTGCATGTGCTGGAAACATGATCCAGCGTCCCAAGACATACAAAACATAATCAGAATCGCTTCTCTAACCGCTTCACTCCACCTTTTGGGGGGAGGGGGGAGAGAGAGAGAGAGAGAGGACAAGGCACCAGCGAGAGTGTGGGCTGGAGATGCTGTCGGGGCAGAAACCCTGACAAGGGCATCTGCCCGGTGTTTTTTTTTTTTTTTTTTTTTGGGGGGGGGAACAAAGCTCCAATCTATTCGTGGGGAGCAACACGTGCTGGGAACCGGGCCCAGCGTCCCATATAGCAAATTACATAGGAATTAGGAAAAATTGAGAGTTTGCAGTAGTTTGTTTGTATCTCTTACGTTCGACTTTCATAAATTTTCCGAGTTCAACGACTTGATGAAATTGGTGTATCTGTCGAAAGCCATTCAGATGGCTCCAGTCTATTCGTGGGGAGCTACATGTGCTAGAAACAGGGTCCAGCGTCCCAAGATGTGCAAAACATAATCAGAATCGCTTATCTAGCACTTCACTCCGCCTTTGGGAGGGGGGG